TTATTAGTAGTATTACATTGCTGGTAAAGCCTTAATTCCCGTAAGGGGTTTATTTTTCATATAGTTAAGGCAACTTTGATCACAGTAAACCGTGAACTATGTCCATTATTAGCGTTAGAAAAATCCACAAAGTTTCGGATCGAAGCCCACGATGTTAGTTTGAGCATCCCCTCTCAATGCATGACTACTTTTCTCATACAGTTGAGATAGTTTAATTAATTTTTTTAAGCCGAATGAGAGGGAAGACAACGGAACAGGGATGATGGACCAAGCAAGCCGCTATAGCCCCAAATCCTCTACACATGTACATTTACATAAGCTACCAATGATCCAACCGTTCACTTTTAGGATGTCGCTCGTGTATGACAAAGACTTGCAGCGCCTCGCTCACGCTACCGCGTTGTTGCCAGACAGCGAGTGCTGCGCTGTGGCTGCGCCTGCGTGTGCCCGGCCCGTGCCACACCAGCAATACAGCAGCCGTACAATTTCCTAGATTACACGAATTAATACGCAAATGACAACGTTCTGGCAACATCGAAACGAACACGGGACACGCTCATGCCGCAAAACTTAAGACTTACACAAAAACAAATCATAACTTAAACCTTATTCACCGGTTTCAAATACATATGGCAAAAAAAAGTGAAATGCATGAGGCGCTCGATACTGACAGATGGAAGTCGCATACACACACCAACTTAAAAACTAAACAAAGATCCAACTGACGGAACATAAAAAGGCACACGCGCGAGTGCGGGCGGGGGCGCCATGTGCCTGGCAAACCGGCTGAACAAACGGGTAAGCTGAACAGAACGAGGTCCATTCGCACAGACTAGTGCGTTCTCACTATCAGCTACACCACAACGTTGTCGCCATGGCCGTGCGCGCAGTGCGGCTCTACAAAGTCAATGCTCTGATTGCGACTGACGGGCAGCATCGCTACTACGTGACCTCGGAGCGGCCTCCGGGGCGCTATCGTGCCCGACGTGGCGAGGACTCGTCACGTCGACCTCCCGGAACCGCCTCCGCGATTCCGAGCGCCTGCGTCGGGCACTGCTTCTATCACAGCTCTGGTAGCTTGCGTGGTAGCTCAACAGGGCGGGCATGTAGGCGGAGAGCGCGGCCTAGTGCTGCTCTATGAGTGGAGAGGTGAGGAACTTGAGGGTGTCGTAGTGCTTGGGCACCGTCTTGAGGGCGTCGTCGGCGGTGCGCACGTCGGAGCAGTTGCGCGGCTGCTTGCGGTACGTGTCGACGCACTCGACGTTGAGGCGCATCGTCTCCATGCGGTAGGTGAATCCCTCGAGCGTGAGCTTGATGACGGTGTGCAGCGGCACGTTGAGGTAGGGCAGCTCCTCGGGGTCCTTGTTGAGGAAGTAGCCCAGCATGCAGCGCAGCACGGCCTGGTGCGCCACGACCAGCACGTTGGTGGTGCGCTCCAGCTCGAGGAGCACGGGCTCCAGGCGCCGGCAGATGTCGACGTACGACTCGCCCCACGGGTAGCGGTAGCGGAGCTTGTCGCGGTCGCGCCACGCGAACTCCTGCGGGTACTTCTCCTGCATCTCCTCGTAGGTCAGGCCCTCGCACACGCCCGCGTCCAGCTCGTTGAGCGCCGGCAGGATCTCGTAGGGCGCGGGCAGGCCGGAGGCCGTCTGCTGCGTGCGCTTCTTCTCGCTCACGCACACGCGCAGCCCGGGCACGCGCGCCTTGTCGGTGAAGTAGCGCGCCAGCGCCTGCGCGTACAGGCGGCCGCGGGGCGACAGGTCGGCGTCGCCGCCGATGCGGCCGAGCATGTTGTACTCGCTCTCGCCGTGCCGCGAGAAGTACAGCGTCTTGGCGGTCGGGTTGAACAGCGGCACGCAGCCCAGGATGCGCGCGTCGAGCGGCGAGTCCAGCCCGCGGGCCGTCACCGTCTCGCCCGCGTTCACCAGGCGGATGAAGGACGCCTGCGGCTCGCGCTTGGCGCTCATGGTCTGGTACACCTCGAGGTAGTGCTCCATCTTGAGGCGGAAGTCCTCCACGGCCTTCTCCAGGTTCATCTCCTTGTAGTCGGAGCTGTGTTTGAGGATCTCCTGCGGGCAGACAGACAAGGCGGGGGGTCAGTCATGGACGTCACGAGGAGTCAATCGACGTCGCGTAAGTGATGCCGGCCGGGGAGGGGGGGGG